TTGTTACTAGTAGCTTCTTGTTACTACTAGTAAGGCACTTGTTACTAGTAGCTTCTTGTTACTACTAGCGTTTTACGAGGCATGGCGGCCACTTCTTGCAAGTCACCAGGTGAAGGTCTTTGCACCACGGCCCTGCCACAAACGCACCATGATGGATATCCATCGCCTCGACAGGAACTTCTCCAGCTCTTTGGGGCTTTCGGAGGATCATCGACCTCGGCTCTTCAACGTGCAGGAAGATCCCTCCGAGCGCTGTGAGGTCTCAGACCAGGAGGAGCGAGTGCGTGGCTGGGCAGTCTTGACCGGAGAGCGATAGCTAGCAGTGGACCCTTTGGGGGGGGGCCATCGATCTTAGGTTGGAGGCCATTGCTACGGACGTAGCAATGGGCATCGCTACTAGGAGCAAGAACGCTACTAGGGGCTCCTGGCCGTACTACTAGGAGCAAGTAGCTACCAGAAAACAAGAAGCTACTAGAGTAAATCTAGGTTGAAGGGAGACCAGGAAGAAACATCTTTTGACAGGCCGGGACAGGGAAATGCCAGCAGGGGCGGTTTTCGGGCAGGGGAAGGGAGGTTCACATGTTTGAAGGAGGGCCTAGTTCCACTGAAAGGCTACATTGGCTACATTCAATGTGGTTCACGTTCAGATCTGTCTTTGGCAGCCATGCCCATTCACGTGGACCCCCAAAGTAACTAAAGGCGGGTTCTCCTACTGTGCCCTGGCCGATCCAAGCCCGGTTTTTACATAAAACCGTTGGCCTCGGGGAACCCGCTGACGGTGCAAAGAAACATACTAGCAATGGCCTCCACCCTAAGAGCGATGGCCGTGATGGCCTCCAACCTAATAGCGATGGTCTCCACCCTAATAACGCCCCCACCGATGGCCGAAGCTGTTCAGGTTCCATGCTCTCGAAGATCCATGGCTACCAGGCCACCGCGGTGCCACAACGCCAGGGTGATCCGCGCTGTCCGCCCTTCGCGCCCTTGCGGTCACCGCAAGGCGCCGTGCGACGACGCACGCGGTGCGTCGACGTCGCGCACGTCGACACGGGACGTCCACGTGTCGGTGTTTCTTCGGAGCTGGCGGCGCTTTTCGGCGGTTGCCGTCTTCTTGGTGGATGTGGAGTTGGCAGGATGGATATACGTAGGTGAATTGATGGTGGATGGATGGATTACATGAGACTTACAAAATTCATGGGCCGATGGAGATCTACCCTTTAATATATAGCTTCCCCAAAGGGGGGTTGTGGCCATGGATCGGTTCTTGAAACGGTTCTTTGCACCAAAAAATGTCCCTCAAACGGTCCGAAAACCTCTCACGCTTTCTAAAAGCAAGCTCGCACAGACTCCGTGGACGTTGCCGAGGTCCATACCTGGGGCCTTGGTGTGATGACGCTCAACAAGAAGTTGTCGTCTAGGCCAGGCCGAGGAGCGAAGTAGCGCGAGTAGCGCATTTTCGACACCGGAGTAGCGCTTGTAGCGAGGACGGGCGGTGACTGACTCGGTGGACACCGAGGGAGCTCGATAGAAGTCGCTCCGGAAGAGAACGAAGTACACCATGAAATCCTCTACACACAGGGGGCGCCATCCACTTCCATGTTACTAGTAAGGGGGTGAACCACAACCCTGCAATAGTCGTGCAGGGCGTAAGGTCCGGGTGGAGACCTGGACTGGAGGACCGGGCCAAGGCTTCAGCGAGCTTGACCAGTTGGATGTAGCCTCAAATCACCTACTGTTCGTGAAACAAAACACGGTCACATGTCGCATGGTATGTGTTTTTTACGGTCAAGTTGGATGTTGATGTCACATGGGATGTGAAGTTGGATGTTCAAGTCTCCGAATTCGGACGATAGACGTCCAAAGCTTGGTTGGACATGTCCGGCCCCTAGGCCGATCCGATGTCCTGGACTTCCGCGCCACCGCGCACAGGCCGCTTCCACCCGGCTCCGCTGGCCCGGCGGAAGCGGCAGATCCGACGACCTGCGGCCGAAGCGGAAAAGGGGCGCTGCGGAGCTCAGAGCCCCCGACCCGGCCAAAATGCGTCCACCACGCCCAGAAACGTGCTATTTCCCCTGCCGGGAAGTGGGGAACGATGACGGGAACGGGAACGTGCAACTGAATGGGAAAAGTCGTTTGGTTTTGTAGAAAGTCGTTTGGATGCGGGCTGCGTTTCCATGCGGGTTAGATGCAAGGTGGCAATGAAAACTGGAAGATAAGCTTGGGAACAGCAGTGCTGCTCAAGTTCTTTTTAGTGGGAACTGGGTAGGCCTAGTAGGAGGGTACCTCGGACTCGCGCGAGTGTAGCCATGTTTCCCCTCCAAAACTTATTTGTAGGGATGTAACCATAATCTTCATGAGACCAAGCTCATGGCAATAGATTCTTGATGCACAACAGCAAACAGAAAAAGGAATAAATACACATATGTCCGCAATCTTCCGTAAAGCATTTCCATGGTGTTGTAACACAAGCCTGCCACGCGCGCTTGTAGGATCACACTAATTGATTTGGCTGAAAGGTGCCCAAGGTCTTGGCAACGACTTTGACGATCTTCTCTTAAAGATATCTTTTTAGGAGCTCGGGGGCTTTTAGCCAATCTCCATCCCTACGGTCTTCACAGAAGCCCTTGTTGCTTCGGTTTGAGCTGACAGGTGCAGCTCTGATGCAGACTGTTGGAACAAAGCAAACTGCCAACGATGCGCTCACAGTGGTTATTGCAGCTTGAGCGCAAGGACATGCAAGAACTCCTAGGTACGATGTCATATGAGGAGAGGTGTTTCTTGATCTCTTTATATTCTCTTCGGTTCAAGCACCGGACAGGGTCTAGCAGGTGATATCAGTGATATCAGTCTGCATTAGTCCTTACAAAGGTGTACAAGGGTAGATAAGGCGCATATGGTATCCCACAATCTGGAGGTACAGATGGTCGTGCAAAATACAATGCCATCAATCTGGACGCAGTGGCATGCTACTGATTGTCACCCTAGCCTGAGGTACGGACGTTCCTTTGAGGGCACTGCACCTCGACGGAAATAATGACTGGAACTTGGATCTTGGGGAAAAGTTTCATGTCCAGTTTGCACTTGCCGATCGGTGATTGAACACGCGATGCCGATCAGCCTATGGAACTATCAGACTAGACCTCCGAGATGGTGCGAACTAAAAACCAGATGGCTGGACTAGGGGGCCAAAGCCTGAGAAAAGCTCAACCAATTACCGGACTGTGTTCAGCTATACAAAGAACACGTTCCGTTGATTGTCTTTGTGTCATGGTCCTGTTCACGTTTAGATGCATCCCTTTTTCCGTGGTCATAACGGTTCAGAAAGACCACGTTTGTTTGGCAGCATCCACTCACTCCATCATTTCAAGACCCACGTGTTTTTCAGCAGCACGACAGGACAGTAGGACAGGACATCGACGGCCGAGGTCAGAGTCGGAGAGCCACGGCGGCTTTGCTTTTGACAAGGATCCTCGGCGTACGTTCACTCGGCGTGTGTTCGACATGGACCTCGGCTGCGCGGCTTTTGAACGGGGAACTCTCGTGGCCGAGGCTTTTGTACCAGTCCTTGGCACTGGCACTGTTGAGGATTCCTGTTGGAAGCTCCTTTATCTCCGTGCATTTCACAGTGATTCAGTGACTGAATGCTGTAATACGTTCATATAGTCGTTCATATGTTTATGGGCTGAAGGGTCGTCGTTGGACATCAACGAAACCCGACTGAGCTTCAAATGCATCTAGTGGAACAAAGAGGAGATGTCGTTGAATTTTGGTGTTCGGTTTCGTTTGCTAGCATGCATTGTGCCACAAGAACGGACAAGCAAGACTCGCATTGTTTGCGCACTTCAGAATCTCATGGTCAGTTGCTTCGTTGCTTCTCTTTGGGTGCAAAAAAGGGTGTCACAACGTGCAAATCTGTGCTCGTTGAGGGGACCGGGAAGAAAGAGAGAGAGAGAGAGAGAAAAAAAAAAAAAACAAAGAAGAAGGAAAGAACGAAAGAGAAAGAGACTTGAGCACAAATGCTTTGTCGGCATTGGTCCCTGCCGCTGCTGTTGCTGTTGCCCACCGAGTCACCGAGTCTCCTTTGCCTCTTCATTTGAGCGAGGAGCACTCCCCGTCGCTGCTCGTGGTGAACGTGAGCATCATGACGGTCTACTGCGCATTGCTGCTGACGCTGCTGTGGCTCCGCCGGGCACCGCCGGACACCGAAGGCGAGAACGACAGACTGGAGAAGAAAACAGGAGGGGAAGGAATGAGTGTAGGCATGGTATGAGTTAAGGTGAGTTAAGGCAGGTATGTGGGCAAGTTTAATTGCTAAGTGAGAGTTGACCATACAGAGGTGCAGTGCGCGACTCGTTGTCCACTCCAGTCGCGTGGCTTCTGAAAAGGCTTGGCCAGTGCTCCTCTGATCTCAGCGGACCGAGAAGCCTAACTTCAGCCCACGCGGATCCGCGCGGAGAAGCGCGCGGCGGAGCGCAATGGAAGTTCGGCACTTCCTTGGATGCCATCCATGTGGGTGCGGTCTTTTGCAAGAGGAAGACCCTCAACATCCCTCAACTAGTGGGTTTAGTCTATTTCTCCTCTTCCAATGCGGTCGAAGCCTGGGAGGTCTTCCGATTAACTTGATACACATCCATGTGACACATGTGCCGTGAGAGAGGTGTCTCATTGGGTTTTCAATGGTTTTCAGTAGCTGCAGTAGCTGCTTTTTCTTTCTGCCCAACTCTGGACCAGAGGTTGAGGTTTTCAGGTGTTGTCGTTCAAGAGTTCGTCAGGTTGGGTTGCTTCCCATTTGCTCCAATGGTGCCCATTCTTAGCAGAGGTATCCAAATGCGAATCCGCATGGGCATGGATCCTTGTATCTTTTGACCTGGCCTGTGATTGCTGTATCGACATGTTTCTTGATGAGGGGCTGGAACTAAATCCATCAGAATCAATGTGTTCATTCCAGCTGTTACATGTCGGCCAACTTTTCCCCTCATCGAAAGACAGACGACTCGCGTGTACAGCGAGCGAGCGAGACGAGCGAGACAAGCGACACGCGGCCAAGCAGCTGGAACTCAGAAGTGTCCGCAGCATCCCGCAGCACTCAGGTGGAGCAAGGTTCAAACATCTAGATTCGCATGGGTTCGCTTCCGCATGCTGAAAAGCAATACACCATGATGATGTTCGTTATGTTGTTTACTCGTTCAATCTTATTCACCACCAACACTCTCACCTCTTAAGCATCTCCCCTCAATGTGGCCGCCCACCTACTCTTTGGCCACCAACTCCACCCACTCCCCTGCCGCGCTCGACCCCAGCCGGCACCCACCGAGG